ATTCCTATAAATTACAACGAAGTCCATTAATAGATGAAGTCTTACTCCGAGCCTCAGTTGAAAAAACCGTGTACTGTTAAAAGCGATTCCGTTGAAGATTGTATTTGCAGTATGGTGTTGTTAAAACTTTCTTTTTATGCCATCAAGTAAAACAGAAACCTTTCCATCACGAAACGATAAAACGAATCACCGGCATTTTCCAAGCATACCTGGCTTCTTGCATTCAGGGCACACAAAGGGGATGTTTTCCATTTCCATCGATGCTGCCATGTCTTCATTAATTTCCATGCAACTGCCATGGAACCAACTGCCACACTGATCACAGGCAATCATGAACCTAGCAACGATTAACAAACCATGATGACAAATATCATCCATTGTACTGAAAATATTTTCTAAGTTTCCATATCAGATCAGATGACTCAAATATAGGTGTAGTATATAATTGTCTAACCTTCCTTTCTCCTCAGGTCCATCACACACACAGTACACTTTTACAGGGGGTGCACTGCTACTGGACTCTTGTGACTGACTCAACTGACCTCCACTAGGTTGTGCGACTGAAAATTAAAGACTGTACATGAATACGCTATTATTACTAGTAATCTTAACACCACTCGGAACGACTATACGACATGATAAAGAATATGGCTATTTAATAGTCATAGTGAAATAATAATCACGGATGGAATGCTTCCTGATCAAAAATTTGACGTCTCCCATAATTGCAATAATGTTCCAAAGTATGTATCACAGGACACCTTACAAACAAAGAAGATGTTTCGTTATTACTGCAGAGAATGGGCAGAGATACCCTCACCTTTCAAACACAATGGATGTGGGCACCCTTTCCTGCCACAGCACTTCAGCATGAAGGCGTAGTTGAGAGGAAGGCTTTCGTCGACATGATTTTTTCGCACCTGCCAAATTTCAGAGAAGTAGTTGTACAAGGTGGGGTTTTAGTTTCAAATCTTCCTTGTCTTTCTTACTTCCTTTCAGAAACACTAACAATTGTGGTCGTCGTTTAAGAAAGATGTGGTCTTCTACTCCTCTTGAAAGGTGGATTTTTGTCTTCATGCAGGGTGTGCCATCCACTCATTCTATATACTGATCCAACGCCGCAGACATGTTGGCCTTGTACTTATCTTCATCAATCCCACCACTTTCACTGAATGGAGAACCACAGAGGGTTGATGGGATAAAGGTGTTGCTGTGGCCTTTACTGAGACATCCGTTTTGCAGCTCGACACGATTAAGATAACTGTCTCCACTACATCTTTTAGTAACCATTGTGATCTTTGTTGGTCTCGCAACGTGCCGCACAGTCCACGAAAATTGAACCTCATGATGAACAGGCCCTTCATCTGCCCCACCATCCACTCTTACGCATTCAATTTCTTTTGCAATGTCCTCCCCATCGCTTAGAAAGATGTGTCTTGAGACATCAAGGTTTTCGACTTTTTGCAAGTCAGCGGTATGCTGAGAAGGACTCTTTTCATGCAAACCTGATGCTTTCACAATTCCAATGCACACTTCATCTGAGGTTGATGTTTTAGAGAAGTTGTAACTTGTCACCTGAAGCTGTGCCGAGTACTTGTTCAAAAAGTGAGTCCGTGTGGGGCACTTGGTTTCACTGACAATGTTGGAAGGTTCTTGTGCATGTAAGTGGAGTCTAGTCTGAACCCTGCCTGATCATCTCGATTAAGTAGCATTATGTGCTTCCCATCCGACTGCAGTTGATTCAGAACTTTGTACAGTGACCAGCTCCATTTATAATCAGGATTGTACTTGATTGAAAAACACTTCCTAGCTCTCTGATACTTAATGTTAGCTACCCCTTTGTAGCGTTTACTTGAGAGGCGCCTTTTGTGCCTGGAAACACAGAACTGTACAACTGTGCCGTAGCTAAAATGCCTCCCATAATGCTCTTTTAACTTTTCTTGGATCTTACTAAATGTTACTCTTTTCGTTTTCTTCTGATCGCCAGAAAATGTATACACCCCGTTCTTCGCCAACTGTCCGCTCCAACATCAGTTTCCTGTACAAAACTTTCAATAACCTCTCCTATGTCAGGATAAGTATTAATAATGGTCTTAGCAGACTGTGACACCTTCTTCCGTAACAATCGTTGCTCTTCAATTTCTTTCTTGGCTTTCTTACGTGACTTCTGATCGATCTGTTTGAGTTTCAGGCGTATTTTCTCGCTTTGTGTTTCAGGTATCACCTCTTCATTATATTCGTCGTCACTGGAATTGCTTGGAGTATCAGATATTCTACCCACATCGGCTTCTTTTTGACGCAAATGTTCAAGATATGCAAGACGAGAGTGCTCAGTCAATCTTTGCTCCTCTTCATCCAATCCAAGTTCCGGTAAGTGTCTAGCAAAGTCCATTAAAAACTGATCAAATACTGCTGAAGTATAACCTTGATTTTTGAACTGCTCTTCTAGTAGTGTCACAAAGGCAAACCAGTTCCATGATACTTCTCTTAACTCGTCTAAGACAACAACAGAATTAACATCAATGACAGGTGTATCCTTCAAGCTCCCATCAGGTTTAGCATGTCTCCAACTGTCTCTTTCAGGTGTATCTTGGCATTCATTCCAGTCATCGCTTTTGTCAGTCTTTTCAAACTCCTTCTGAGCCACTTTGCTGTTACTCTCACTAACAAGACTTTCAAAGGGGATTTCTCTGTTATCGGCATCATTCACATCAAGAGCTTGAACAGTCCAGCTGTCATCAGGTCTAGCATCTCTCTCAGAGTTTGTTGCTGGTGGGTAATGCTCTTCTGTCCAATGACCTTTCTTTTGAACCTCTTTAAATTCACTGTTGCTCACTTCTCCGTCAATGTCACTATCAAGACTTTCCAGGGAGACTTCTGTGTCATCGGAAAAATCTGAACCATCTGATTCGGAGCTATCTGACAAGATATCCTTTGGATCTACGCCGCAAGAAGCCAAGTACACTCTCTTTTCTTCTTTTGCTAATGTCTTACTCCTGGTTTGGATTTCTTTTGCAATCGTTGATGCAGCACTAACTTTATCTGACCTCTTCTTCAGACGGCTTATTCCATACAGTTTACTTGCCTTTTATTTCAACAAGTTGTAACTGCGGCATATTGTATGCTTCAGAATTTCTTTCTCAGGTTCACTTTGTGCGACGAAGGTCAGTAGTGAGTTGAAATCTGCGCGAGAGGTGTAGTTCATCTCCTGAGAGGAATGCCTGAAAGTGATCTCCCTTTTCGCTGATTCGTAGTTAGCGCCTTGTAAGTAATCTTTTTCAACCAGGTAAACTCTGCTATCGATCGTTATCGTGGCCAGAGGCATTTGTAGCAATCGCCGTTGCGCCTTCTCGCAATCATAAGGTACGCCATCAAAGGAACTGTTCCACACAAAAGACAAAGGAACCACCTTACTCTTCAGGACCAAGTTTCCAGCTTTTATCATGGGATTACAAGAAAGGCAATCTTTATGATTTAAACGGCATTTTGCCTCCTTGGCCAACACATATTCGGAAAGGGTTAGTCCTTCAAACAAACTTTCTCGTATCTGTTCCGAAATCTTTTGACGTTTTGTGTCAATTAGTTTTCTCCTTTCCTGCGTTGTGAGAATGTATATAAACTTTTCTAACTCTGATTCCTTCCCCAGATCAAATGCTTTCTGGGGGCATGAATCTATAAAAAATAATTATCAACACCTTCGCTAGTGGCACTGCTAGAAACCATCTTCATTCCAGACTCTTCACTGGTTTTCTCATTATCCACTACTTCATCACCAACATTCGCACACGTTGCCACCTTTACTCCAGACACTTCATCTTTGTCTTCACTGGTCTTCTTATTATTCCATACAGTTTACTTGCCTTTTATTTCAACAAGTTGTAACTGCTGCATATTGTATGCTTCAGAATTTCAGAATTTCTTATTATCTTACCTTACCTTACCTTATTATATTCATCACCAACATTCGCACACGACGCCACCTTTACTCCGGACACCTCACTTTTCTCGTCATCAGTCTTCTTATCAGACACTGCCTCATCTTCAAGCACCACACATGGCACTTCCTTTGCTCCATTAACTTCAACCATTTCGCCACCAATCTTCTTATCATCCGCAACCTCCACTCCAACCACAATACCCTCGCCACTGATATCTTTAAAATCCAACCTCCTCTTTTTTGAAACCACTTCTGCACTCTCTTCGCAGCCATCTTGATTTGGATCGCTGGTCATCTTGACTCGTAGAAAGGACCTTATGTCCACTTTGGTTGCAGTGTCTGTCGATGTTGCAGTTGCTGTGGTCCTTGAGGAAGTGGTTCTTCATGCCATGTAAGTTTAATGCTTTGCTTCCTTTTTGTGAAGATCGGAGTGCTTATTTTGTACTTGTTGCCTTTCAACTAACATAGCACGCAACTCTTTGTGCAAACTTGTGCATCTTTTGTTTTCCTTTAAATTATTTGCATGCGCAACCTCCTTTTGTTTATTTGCGCTTTGCGCTGTTAGTGACTGAAGTTCCACAGAAAGCAAGTTGATTTCTTTGGATCTGTCATCAGTTGACTGCTTTTTCGTTTTGGGTACAGACTTCTCGGACTCAGCAAATTTTGATCTGGAACCGGTTTTCTTACGGTAGACAAAGGTTTTCCTTGCATCTGCCTCAGCGCTTGCTTTTAAGGATGCTCTGTCGCACATTTCATTTGGCGACTTCAAGGCTATTTTGAGGGCTGCAGCGTTTACAGCTTCCTGCCACGCTGTCAACTTCGCATCTCCCCTGAATCTGCCATAAATTTTTGATTGCTCTTTGATAATCTCTTCTTTAAGCGGTTTTTGAGACGGTTCGTCACATACAGGGGATGGGGATGGATAGGATTGAACATCATCAGTCACAACAACAGGCGTTGTGCTGCCAGTAGTTAAAACCACTTTAGGGGATGCAGTCTCCAGGTTGTTGGCAATTTGCTTAAACTTTTGATCAAACTTGAGCAACAAACCCTGTTTTGGGATCATAGCCTTCAAGGAATCCCTGTCCAGAAGGCGGAATGCGTCTCCATCTATTTCATTCTCTAGAATAAAAGTAGGGCAGTTTCGATATAGACTACCCGACAGCCATGTCAGCGAACAATGCCACTAATGTCAAATAGACTCATTCACAGAAAATTAAAATTCCAAATATTCCTGAATCGGACAGTTTATAAAGATAAACAGATGAAAGACTTTAATTCTGATCAAATTTGAGGAATACAGCCGAGCTGGGAAGGCCGCAATTGTTTTCAGTTTTCCACACCCTTTGTGGTGCAAAGTTTTTCCACTCTGAGTATAGGAACGTTGTACTTAATATTATTAAAATAGGAAAACTAAAAATGCGATTCCTTGCTCAATTCCTAACAGGGTTACATTCATCAAAAGAGCTTTTTCCGTGGTAGATTTGGTCATCTATTATACAATCTTTTAATTTATAACTATATTTATCATCGATTAGAAAAAATGTTTGCTGTGTTTGTACCACGATGGCATCAGAAACCCGGTCACAGATCATGAAAATTATATTATTCCATATGTATTAGCAACATACAAAAGATGAAAACAATTCTAAAGAAAGAGAAGCAACTACAAACATATGATATGAGATTTTCAAATATAAATAGTTTTCTACGTGGGTGATTTGTAGCTCATCACGTTTCACTGCAATTTAAAGGGCTTCAATTGTCTTGCGTTGTCACCTTGTAATATTAAAAATGCGCATATTCCTATTAAACAGCAGTGCGAATTCAATCATTGAATTCGTAGTACTCTAAAACCTATTTCAAAAACTGCGCTGGGATTGCGGTGGACGTGACCCCAGCCGTGAGCGATGATAGGCGCCTGTATTCGCAGGCTACTTTTTCTGTGAAGAATCAAGACATTTTAAATGATGATGAATTGCATTTTATAAAGCTCACAAGATCTGTCTTGAATATCACATCATTTGAATTCACAAATCTTACGTATTTTAACTCCACTTTCATGAATTTAAAAAATGCCAGGCTAGTTTTGAATGCGAAATAGTCGTGCTCACATCAGTCATTGTTTTGTGATATTAAAACAAAATATAGTTCACCTTGTCACTTATATTTATATGCTTACAAATAATGAAGAAATATCCAAAATTGAGAAAACATACCTTTAAAAACATTGACCAGTTTTTCTAGTCCCTGACGGACAAGCCATTGCTCGACAAACGCCTCGTCTTTTCCGCTGAATTCATCCATGGCACTTTTAAAAACATGTGTCAAATGCCCGGGGGTCGCCCCGGGGTACGCAAATGCCCAGTCCCCGGGCCACGATAAAATTGCGAATGCCCCACCCCCGGGACTGACAATGTCAGCAAATGCTCCGCGGTTGCTCGGGGTGGGGATGGGCACTGCTGGAATTGACTGATGCATTACCCAGGGGGAAAACACTGATGTCAAATACCCCTTCCACACTCACAGGCTTTTTTACCCCTTCCACTGGCTGCCACAGTCTTTTTTTCCCGTCTAGTTATATCCCACGCTTTGTAAAGAGGCATTTCTCCCAAAAGCAAACACTTTCTAAAGCTGTTTAGCCCAACACGGATTAATATTCAACAATGAACGCCATCTTGAGGGGTCGGACAAAGCGGTCAGAAATTACAGTGTTTGTATGGGAATCTGATGGCAAAAAAACTTTTTTCCAAAATGTAATTTTACACAATTTGTGAATTGCAATGTTAAAATACTAGGTCAGTGGAAGATTGTATTCACCAAGTTTCGAGGATGTAGCTGGGCTAGAAGACGCTGAGTTAATATTTCTTATTTTCCATTCATTTGTTTGTAAATTTGACTGGGTAGATGCAGTTCGCGGGAAAAAGATTGCAGACAAATGTATGGAAAATTAGAAAAATTAATTGATCGTCTTCTAGCCAATTTACATCCTTCAAACTTGGTGAATACAATCTTCTACCTGATATTTTAATGTCTTGATTCACAAATTGTGTAAAATTTGATTTTGCAAAAAGTTGTTTGCCATCGGATTCCCATACAAACACTGTAATTTCTGACCGCTTTCCCTACCCGTCAAGAAGTCGTCGAAAACCGTGATATGATCAATTTAAAACAGCGTTAAAATATAGAGCAAAATCCGTACCATAGTGGAAAATAGTCCAAAAAAATTAAATCTGAAACGAGACAAAGAACAAAGGTGAGTAAACTGGAGGTGTCATCATTTCCTTTGAGTTCAGGCTCGTGACTGTAACCTTCTTTAACCTTGATATAATATCCTATCTGATCTCATAAATATTGTCATAATTTCTAGGTTCTCTCTGGCACTCGCAAAGATATATCTTCTGGAGAGAAATGCATAGCAAAATGAAATAAAAAGAAGCAAACTTACCAAAGTTGTCCGCAACACACTTGGCCAAGCTCACCGAGTCTGTTTGACCTGTGTCACGGTCATTCACTCTGCTAATTTGGTGCCAAATATGATGGTATTACTCAGACCCCACATTGACTGATCCATTTCAATCTTGACTTGTTCACTTCACTGTTTTATTTTTTGTGGTTCGGTGCGCAAAGAAGGCTGTTTCGTTTCGTGCCACGCTAAATCACTGCTAATTTAGTTCAATCATTTCTAATTACACTGGACCATTGCTTCTATGACTGAACAGCTCAACATTAAGTTAAGCTATTTGCTGTTTGCATGAATGATTTGACTTCGTACTGCACTGTTTGTGTCTGCATTAAATCAGTTGGCACTACACTAAACCATTG